TCACAATGCAGTCATTTTTACTGCTTTTGGGCAATATAGGTATATACTAAGTTTCAGTCTTTCTAGTGTTAAGAAGGTATAGTAGAATTATTTATACAATGATTCATACGAGATTGAATAACAATTCATACAGCATTTCATTTCATCATTTAATGTTTAATAAGATATTATACCTGAGTTCCCGGGCACAGTTCAGTTTTTGATCATTCTGCGCATCTCAATGCTTTACCGTGTATTCTTAAATTATTTTTAGTAGTTAGGTAGATTAGTTTACTAATTGATGTGTACAGAAAAATTAATTACAAAATTAAAATTGGTAGAAATCATGAGGGATTTTCTCAACTTTCCTTTATCTGAGCTTCTAATGAAAATTTACTTATGTAAATTGTACTGTCAATTTTATATCATGTAAAGGAAAAATGTAAAAAACAGACATTAATTTTATTAATTAATCAGTTTGATTTAATTCGTAATAAATGATCTTATTTTTTCCTTCTTCTACTTTTAACATATTCTTATGTGACGTAAATGCTACAATTTATATACAGTAACAAGATCATTCATTTGAGACATAAAAATAAATATACATAATCTATTCTTTTTACATTTTTCTTGACTAATGAGTTATTTCAAACTTATGTATTATGTATAGAGAAACATGTTAAAATCCCGGAAGGAGAAAAATAACTGATATAATTTGTCAAGAATGAAGAGAATGAATATCTTACGAATTATTCATGAACATAGATTGTTTGTTCCTTTTTTTTAAAAAAAAAGAGCCAACTGTTTTCACACCGATAGGGGGATCGAAAGTTTAGAATACAAAGTCCAATGAATCCGTTAAGTAAATTTCTGATGCATTCGAATCGATTGACAGTAGAGACGTTATCTTTGCCAGGAGATAAGAATTCTCATTTGGTGAATGAAATCGTTTCGACTTTCATTAAATTAATTAAAACCGAGAAGTATTGATATAATCTAAAAACATTAAATAGTAAACCTTACGTAATGGCGGTGTTGCAATCTGTTACAAAATGAAGACTGTGAGGAGAAAAAATCATTTGATAAGAATGCTAGTTTCACGTTTTTTAACGGTCTCTTCTATTACGTTTCAGTTAGTTGCCAGAGGCGGGTATTCTCCAAGAAGCGAACTATAAAAAAACTACATACTCAAGATGAACAAAGTGGATTATATGGAGGTCACTGTACCCAACTATTCGTTCATCTTCAACTTCGAAGAAACGTTCCATCACCTGGACACGAAAATATGGATGACCAAACACTGGACGAACTGTTTCTATTACTGCGGCATTTATATGATACTGATATTCGGCGGACAGGCTTACATGTCGAACAGGCCGAAATTCGAGCTTAGGGGCATACTTGCGCTGTGGAACACAGTGCTCGCCACCTTCTCCATTATTGGATTTACTAGAACCGCGCCGGAATTGATCCACGTGCTCAGGCATTATGGGTTTCACCATAGCGTTTGCATACCTAGGTACGACTTACTTTACCTCAATTCGTTTTATTATTTAACGTTTAACACTAGATTGCCCAAGGAAGTAATTTTGACTGCTTTTGGGCAAATGTACAAATAATAATGCATAAATTATTTTTTTTCCCAAGTGAAGTAAATTTTTTTTATTGTTAATAT